CAGAGGTTGCAGTGAGCCAGGATCATGCCACTGCACTCCAGCCTGGGCGACAAGAGCAAAACTCCATCTCCTAATAATAATAATAATAATAATAAAAAATAAATATTTGTCCTTGTCACATATTTATGTTTATAAATATGAGTTTATTTTTTCTCAAAATTTACATTATGAAATTTGTTTAGTAATCATCACATTTAGGGGTTTTAAAGTGACCATTACTTTACCTTTGTATTTTTTAGGAGACCCGTGTACCGTATCATCTCAGTTGGAGTTAGAAGAAGCCTTTAGACTTTATGAGCTAAACAAGGATTCTGAACTCTTGATTCATGGTAAGAGAGTAGTCATTTCATACTTGTCCAGAGTGATAATTTCTTTGAAATCACTCTTTATTCTTGACCATTTTGAAACATAATCTCAATGTCATTTTCTCAGTCTCTGTGACTCATGCCTAAGTAATTGTCCTTATTTAGTAGTTTCTCACATGCTATAGAAGGTAAAATTAATCTGCTTCTTACAGTCTGGGGAATTTTGTGATCTCTGTATGTCTCGTTGGATATTAAAATGTGATTTCTTAGTGTATCATAGCAAGTTTATGATGTAAGTTAAAAATTGAGAGTCTAGGGAATCTAAGTCATCTACTTGAAATTTTATGATGTATACAAATAGTGACCTCCAAAGGTAAGGTAGCTTAATATCCTTTCTTTTGCTTAAAGGTTAATAGTGAAACTATTTACATGATTCCTATATTTATTTTTGGGACAGAGTCTCACTGTCACCCAGGCTGGAGTGCAGTGGCATGATCTCAGCCCACTGCAACCTCTGCCTCCCGAGTTCAAGTGCGCCTCAGCCTCCCAAGTAGCTGGGATTACAGGTGTGCACCACCATGGCTGGCTAATTTTTGTATTTGTAGTAGAGACAGGGTTTCACCATGTTGGCAAGGCTGGTCTCGAACTCCTTGCCTCAAGAGAGCCGCCTGCCTTAGTCTCCCAAAGCACTGAGATTACAGGCATGAGCCACTGCACCTGGCCCATTTACGTGATGCTTTAGAGGCATTAGTATGTTTAAACCTCAGCAACCTTGCCGGGTGTGGTGGCTCACGCCTGTAATCCCAGCACTTTGGGAGGCCGAGGCAGGTGGATC